CAACCCCCCCCAGCCACTAACCCCAAACTGCTATCAGACTGAGCAAAGCACATGTACTTCTCATTAAGGACTATTTACATGCCACGAGGGAAGGGTCAAAGTTCAGCTGAGTTTGAGCTATGCCTGTGGGAAAAAAGGGTCACAATTTCTTTTCTCTGGGTAAAGAAGTATGTCTTTTAGTCACAGAACTCTAAGGAGGTGAAGGCATTTTGCTGACACAACAGACAAGCATGGAGGGTTTTCCACCCAGAAGTGAATGTTTGGTGATGTTATGGAATAGAAGGATCATAAGAAGCTCACTCCTTGCCAAAAAAATTGAGGGGTTCATCTCCCATAAAAGCCCAGCACTGTGCCTGACGACACACCTCACTGCTGGCAGCGGCCAAACAGCAGCTCCTAACTCACACACCAAACGTAACTCCTGCTGCACAAACCACACTCCACTAACCCCAGAGACTGGGAAAACCCACCTGATCTGCACTGCTGTTTGGGGCTGGAGGAGCTTTCCTACCTGTAAGCCAGAGACGGCAGCAGGGTAGGGTGAGAGAGCAGTGGATCCCAAGTTCCTGCCCAGGAGAGGGGTCATGGGGGTGCTGCTGGTGGTGTGGGTGGCACGCCAGTAGGCCTCCAGGTACTCAGCCAGGTGCTCACAGGCATCCTCCAGCTGGTTCTCATCCAGGATGACGTCAAACATTTCCTGCTCACAACGACAAAGGTTGGGTCATCACAGCGTTAGGGTGGAAAGGAGGAGGTGTGAAACATTTCCTGACATGCTAAGCCTTTAATAGACAGGAATCAGAGCATGGGAGTGTGGAAGGAGCTAAGGATGGAGACTTGGGACAAGGGCATGGAGGGACAGGACAACAGGAAATGACTTCACACTGAAAAAGAGTAGGATTAGAGGGGATATTGGGAAGGAATTCCTGGCTGTGAGGGTATTGAGGTACTGGGATGGATTTCCCAGAGCAGCTGTGGCTGCTCCATCCCTGGGAGTGTTCCAGGCCAGGTTGGATGGGGTTGGAGCACCCTGGGCTGGTGGGAGGTGTCCCTGCCCAAGGCAGGGGCTGGAACTGGATCCCAACTCAAACCATTCCATGACTCTGTGATTCTCTGAATGCAAAAGAAAATGGGACCAGTGGGTTTATAGGGTGATCAGGAGCCAAAGCTTTCAGGAGTCACGAATCCCTGTCCGTGAGGCTCCCTGAGCCCTCAGAGGCACAGAGCTCCTGAATGTATTTATTCCCAGTGCTGACGGTCCCACAACCACTGCCACACCAGGGGAGGCAGA